TATATTCACTCAACAGAACGTTGTTATGACTGTTGTCAAAATTGTTTTATAACCGATTTCCTTTTCTTGTCGTATCTCAACTTTATAAAGGAGTTAGTTTTGCATGTTTTCAATCTTCCTATATTTTTCAAGGAAAGACAAGGACAAAAATTTTTTATAACAAAAATTGAAGATAAACTCTTTTAACGAATTATTAAAAAGACAGGATCAGCGGTGAGCAATTATCATTCATGGTTGTGGCCGTCTAGAGCCCGTATATTTTTGTCACAAGTACCTTTATTGCCACGTTATCTTATAGTTTATCGACTGTGAGAAATCTCGTGCATATATACGCATAAAACGGGCACGCACACACATTTTCGTTAAGATGTAAATTTTTCTTTTTTTCCGCTGGATTATGTATATTTCGATAATCCAAAAAAGACCAGGAAATGTTCATATAAAGTAGATTATATAAACACAGTATACCACTTTTTTCCGTTTTTATTCTTTTACTAAATGTATAGTTTATTATTTATGAGAATGAGGTACTGAAGACATATCTCATATTGCTTCTTTTCTGCATGATTGAAATATTCATAATCAAGCGTAAAAAAAAAGAAATACTTGTACTTATACGAAAAGATATTCGGGTTACTGGAAAAACGTTTTGAGTCGAATTCATCGTGACCTCTTTCAAACTTTGCTAGACATGTCTACCAGGTTCGGCATCGTCAAAAACTTATGGCAAACGAACATACGGTTCTTTTGTTTATACAATATTTCGAAGAAAAATACACGTTGTAAAATTTGTTTTTCGTTTTTCTCAACATCTATTTTTCTGTTCATCGCTTTAACAATTTCCCAAAATTTTCAAGCAATTTAGCTCCTATAGAGTTGGGGATAGTTTTCATTTGTGAAGAAATGTTGTTGCTTTGATGGTACCGAGCCAAATTTTTCAGTTTTCTTTACAGAAGATAAAGAAAACTAAAGATCTCTAAAAAGAAAAGCTGAAAGTGGGTTTTAGAGATTTTGGCAAAAGTATTTCGCGTTAATCAGTAACCTAAAATTTCAAAATCTAGCTCTGTTCTGCTAAAGATATAGCATTTTTCTATGAAATAAAACCATTTCGAGTTTGGTTGCATCTAAACTAACTGCAAATTTTGGTAGACCTTAATTGTCGCATTTTGACTATGGGTTTTTATGGAAGTATGAATAATTTTTCATAACTGTTTATGACAATTTTCTGAATACCGTATTACTAGTTATACAACTCGTACATGCACTGCTATTTTTATCCACAGCTGGCTATTTGGGAAACACTCGATAACGCGCTGCCGTATTTTTAAGAAATTGTCAGCGATGAATTCCATGATAATCTATCATCCTGAATCAGACGAACAAGGACGATAGATTATTGATTTATTAGATATTTCGTTGTTTGACGTGAAGCACTGAACTGTCGCAAGTGCTGATTTTACTCACCTAGTTTCATCGCTAATTCATACTGTTTGTATATATTCTAACATGTGCGATATTGATTCAAATTAGTTCAAAAAGAAAATACGTGTAAAACTGCCTTCGGCTATTTAAAACTATTTTTCATTTTAGCTGTTACATTTAGACAGTTATTTACAGTAGATATCTGATAAATTTAAAGAAAACTAATTTAAATATTATTCTCTTATCTAATCACGGGATGACGAATGTTAAGAAAATGATAAGACCATTTTATGTGGAATATATTAAAAAATCAATAACTGATGATCAATTTTTTTAGAAAGTGCAATATTCAACATTCATCGAAGACCGAAGGAACTGTATGGATAAGTATTTTTTATTCTTCATAGAGATGAAGTGTAGTAAGTGCATATAGAAAGTGAGGTTGGTACTGTACAGTGTGCTATGTAATCTTTCTCCTGATTGCAACAGTCACGGATGAAATACTGAGCTCTTGTTAATGAAATCAGTATTCATGGCAAAACAATTCTACTTCATACAAGATTTACGCACTTGAAACGCTAAACAAGTGACGAAAAACAATGTTACGGAAAATTTTATAAATTTTTTGATGCGAAATAAACATACTCCTAATGGTTTACAGACTAATATTGCAAGGATACGCAGAATGTCAGACATGAAGAACAAATATCTAGTCAATTTTCATTTTTTAATTTGTTGTTAACAATTTCTAATATATTTGTATTTTTGAAAAATCTTGATGATGAATTAGATAATTGTATTTCCATTAGACCAAATTAACGTGTGAAAACAACTTGTCATATCATAAATAGAAAATAAAAGTATATATCCGAAATAAAAAAATAATAAAATTATTTTATGTCGAAATAAAAGTTGCGTAAATATAAATAAATAGTTTAACGAGATAAGAGCAGTATTGTATCATTATTGGAGATTCTGTAGCACCACAAAATGTATATATTATTAAGCTTGAAGTCGACCTTCTTCCGTTATTAATAAAGTCAATTTATTGGAGGAGTCGGATGTAATGCCAAGTTTTTCTAACTATAAATGAGATATATATATATGAGATTAAACACTGTCATATTTATATAACAAAACATACTTCATTAGTAAATGCATTAATATCATTGGTTATTTGCATACGAATTTTATTATCATCTGACACAGTTACACTAGGATTATTTTGTACTAATGATGTTTTTACTGAGGATGTTTCTCGGACACGTTTCAATAATAGAATACTATCTTCCATTTTTCGAACAGATGAAAGTATGTCAGAGCAAAGATCATAATATCTAGAAAAATATGGAAGATTTACAGAGTAAATATCTATTAAAATAGACAACATACTTTTTTGTAATATCATCAATGGCTAATTTTAGAAATTTGTGACATTCATCGTATGTAAGAATTGTGCCACTAAATTCATCTGAAAACGTTTTTAAATGACGAAATGTGGCTATAATACAAGTTGACGGTTTTGTTGGTGCCTATGATAAGCAAATATTGGTTGACTTTAGTAATATAATCTAAAGCGTAAATAAACTACCTCTCGATTTGTTTTTCTATATAGACGTGGTATATCTTGGACAGAATGTAATGTTTCAATACAACGATTAACAAGTTGACGAATGACCATACTTTTTAGATCAGTTCGTCGTTGCTCAACAATTGTAATTAAACACTCTTCTAATACTATCATAAAAAGAGAAACAGAGATCATCCTCTCATATCATATCATTTTACTCGTTTAACATACCATCAGCCAATTGTTGATCAAATTTAGATGATGATGAAGAGGGTAATGATGATAGTTTTTGAACGATGACATTTTGAAAATATGTTTTCATCTAAATTTACAGATCAATAATATTTTATTAAATATCTAACTGAATGTTGAGATTATATCTTACTTCATTGTAGAATGACTCTAAATCTACATATAGATTCAAAAGATTTTTTATATTATCATCACTACTGTTTTTCTAAATGAATATATTAATAAATTGATTATTTACTAATAACATTCATGTTCTATTCTACCTTGGTTGTTATTGATTCCAACCACACATGAAATCGAGACATACATTGTAACGTTAATTTCCAGAAACGATGAGCCAATGGTTCAAGATAAACATTCGGTTGCCAACATCGATCGATTGAATTAAATATAGTGTCAACTGCTAGTGTACGATATTTACTACCATCTGGTGCAACTGCCAACGGTTCATGAGCAAGAACAGTTTCAATTGAACTTGCTATTTCTTGAAATCTAGATAAAAATTCTCGTACTATTTTTATTTTTAACTTTTTTTAAACATGACCATATTTACCTTATCTGATAATAAACAGCTAAATCCCATCGATTAAGAAAATGTTGATATTGTTTCGATCTTTTTAAACGTTGTTCACTTGCTTTTGATAATAATTCATCTAATTGTTCAATAAATCGCATCCAATGCTGATAACGTTGATGAAACATCTCTGGATCACCCGCAAAGAATATCATATGTGACGATTGTTCAAGACAATTTGATAGTTCGGGAAATATTGAATTAACAACAAAATCAAAATGACTACCACATCTTTGGTTTTCGTAAAAAGAAAAAGAAATATTAAAAAAGCACATAATTATAGAAAATCATTCTTCTACATTTGCATTTCGAATTGTTAACATAGTATTTTAAGAACTATCAAAAGAGTAGCTGTCTCTTTTTATAATAAGGGAATCCTAAGAGATCTAAAACTTTTCTAATTAAAACTAGTATTTTGAGGGTAATTCTTGATTCTGATCATGAATCAGTTTTAACTTGTTCAAAATTGATTAACTTATTTAACAAGTTTACTTGAGTTAGAAAAATATTCATCTCAAGTATAGCGAAATATTTGACTTTTGCAGGTTTTTGGATTGTAAACTTTTTATAAATTAATTAAACTTTGTTCAATAGTTCTGACACTTTTAATACAGAAGCAACTCGATGAGTTGTACAAACTAAGCAGATCGGAATCTCTGGATTCTTAGTTTTACAATAGGTCTCTAGAGATTAGACTTTTAAAGACCCATTTAGAAACTCGATAGGGATACAAAGAGACATCAAATTGATAATCAAAATCAACAATTACTCTCGGGAAACTAGTTTTAATTAGAAAAGTTTTCGATCACTTAGGAAGATTTTCTTATAAGTGTATCTCCATGAACAAAGTGAACTATTCGATAACAATGTATCATACATACTCTCGATTAATACGTTCAACAACATACAACATTGCTTTACATTCTGTTTGAATAAAATCTAATGTTTTTTCTAATGCTGGTAATATGTCAGTTGTTTGAATAAGAATATAGCGAATTGTCTGAGAATAGAGAATTTTAAAAATAGTTTTAACCGAATGAAAAAGACAAGATTATTTCATATATTTTTACTTTTTCCATATAAGGTCGAACAATTTCTTGAGCAAACGCTTGTTCTGCAACGTTTTGTAATGATATACATGCTAAACCTTTCAGACAATCGGCTAATAGCGACATATTTTGTTCACGATAGGCATTGATAAATGCTGATGATAAACGTTCTTGAAAAACACGTTGAAGATTTTCAATCAGCTAGAGAGATAATTAATCTAAGAATAATAATTCTTTGACATATTTCTATTAGCATACCGCTTTTAATGAATCAATATCTTCGTTTCCACATTTCTTCAATTCAATACTTATAAAGCCAAATTGAACTACAGCACGTTCAATCATTTCCGTGATGCCAATGCTAGAAAACAAATCGAATTAACTATTGATTCTTGCAAAATATAATACATTTACTTGTTCAAATTAACAGCATCATCAAGTTCATGTAATTTTCTTATTGCTTTTTGTACGTCAATAATTGATTGTATCAGTTGTTTACGTTTACGTATTTCTGTTTGTTCACGCAATTTAACTTCAATTAATTGTCGTTGTGATTGTAATGTTTCATTTATTTTCTACGAATAAAAAATTTGAAAAATATAAAGATAAATGTGAAAATTTGTAACTAACGAGAATATCTGATCTCATATTAGTCAATGGATTTTTTAATGTGGTTATAGATTTGTCGAGACCAACCTTAAAAAAGAGCATAAACAAGAATATAATGATAATAAATTTTATTGTGAATTACTATTACCAAATTTGTTGATAAATTAACAAAATCGGCATAATCTCGATTAATCAATTCAACCATAGACGATTTAAGTACACGTAAAAATAAATCTAAATCATCTCGTAGTTTTTCTAATCCCACTTCACGTTTATATTTTGCAACAAATGCATCAACATTAAAATCAGACTTAAAAAGATCAGTGATACCATACACAAATAATATAAAATCATTTATCAGTAGATATTTTACACAAAACTTACCGAACTTATTTCATCACGAGGAAAACAAAATGGTGATACAGCATCAGATATTATATTAGGAGCGAGTGCTACCATAATTTGATATATTGTTCAGCACTAAGAAAATAGATTCATCTACAATTAAAGTCTCTGTAATACACAGAAAAAGAAAGAAGGTATAAAAACCATTTCTTTCGTCTCGAATTTGATAATTTTAGTTCGATTTTTATTTAAAAAAAATTTCATTATTTAAATCTATAAGAAAAAAAAACCATAGTACATAAAAAAGAAAAGTAAATAGCTCTATATGCTGTAATAATTATCTATCAGAGGAAAAAAATAGACAACAATAATTAAGATATATATGCAAATCATTGAGCAATACAAATAAAAACAAAATACAACAACAAATAATTCCATCTAAACAACGGAAAATGTGAAGTAAAAGTAAAAGGACTATTTAAACAATCAAACATAATGGAATGTTTCATTTTCAATTAGAAACACTGTTAATAATTAAACAAACAAAGGATAGATATTTACAGGGAAAAAGATGTTAGATAAGCCGTAATGATTTAAGATAAGCAATAAGACAACGGTGAACAAAAACATATTGATATGTTCGATCAACTAATGACATTCGATGTTCTCGCATCACTTTTAGCACACTTGGTATGCTCACTTTCTAAACAAAAATGAAAACAAAAATGTATAATGATAAAAAATAAAATCTCTTCTATACTTTATTAAAATTAATACATTGAATCATCACATGAATAAGAATAAATAAACCAGTTCGACCTATTTAATTAGAAAAATGAACATATCTAATCAATGAAGAGAAATTTTACAATGATTTTTTTTTATTACCTATTCCAGCCGTGCAATGAACTAAACATGGATTTGTTTCACCATAATATCGACGTACACAATCAACTTCATTAACAAAATCTAAAAAAACATAAAATGTTTGATAACTATCAAAAACAACGACTATTGAATAACGTTAGCTACCAATGAATGATTGACATTCCAATGGTAATTGATTATCATCCCACGCTGTGTATTGTAAATGAGCAACGGTTCTTATTCGTTGACCATTGATAGTATACATTCGAAAATGTCGAATAATAAAATCGACACGTATCTGTTCGGATATAAGTTCAATTTCGAACTGAATAAATGAATAAATAAATCAAAGAAAAAAATTATGTCATTTGTTCGAGATTAAAACACGCGAACCTCGTTTGTCCGTAATATATTTTCTTTTTTCAATGGAAAATAACGAGCACATATTTGATGATCATTTTCAATAAAATCTCCAATTAACATAACAACAACATGAATATTATTTAACGAAATCATTCTCCAAAAATCATATATTGTCAATGGGAGAGGTGATTCAGTTGCTATATATGAATAAATTGTATTCTGTATACGAATCTAATAAAAAATTATAAATATTTTTAATCAAAGAAATAAAAATTTAGTTGTCAATAAACTTACTTTGACATGCGATGCATTAATATAACCCTGAAGATTTTCCTTAACGGGAATAAGTCGAACACGTGTATCATCGTATGGAATGACATCTGGAAATCTGTTTCGTTCTATATTTTCTGATAATCGACCATCTTGAAATAGATTATTATTAGTCATACGACATAACGGAATTGAATCAAATTCATCATAAACACTTCCAGTTTCTACTTTTAATATGAATTCAGATAACTAAAAATAAAATAAAATCTACGATTAAAAATGAATGAATGGTATCTTTTTACTGGAATTCTAAATATTCACTTTTTAGAAACAAAAAAAAATGCCATCATTGTATGTATGCATACCCAAACATCGCCAGTTGATTGCGTTTCTAACGGTACAGATGTGGATGACAAAAATGTTCTCGTATTCTAAAGCATACCACACTTAGCAACTATAATATATGCAATGCTTAGAAATTTATAATTGCTAACTTTAACATACCTGACATATTCGATTATTCTTAGGTGATAAAGTAGAAGGTGATATGTTGTCAACTCCAACTGATTCATTCCTCTTTGAAGTCTAAAAGAACACATACAAACATATTGAACAAATTATATATAAAAATTAGATGAAAGTAAAAGAGTTCATTTCTCTATCTACCTTTTTACTTTTGCGTATTTTTGATAGAGAACGACGAAGTTCTTTTGTAAACATGAATAAAAAATTATAGGAACAGAACAAAGAGAACGAAACAATCTACATTTAGTGGATGACCGTTAAGCAAGACCATCATAAAACATGAAGGATTATGTATCAATGATACAATGAATATTATAAAACATAGAATGAAAGAAAAAAATGTATAATTCGACTTGCACAAAGAAAAAACAAGGAGAAAAAAAAATTCCAAGTTAGATAGATTGATTGAATGACAATCCCACATTGAGAAATGATCATCTCGTTTATCAATAAAGATAAGCATATAAAAAATATAAATCAAATGTTTATTGTTAGTACACATAAAAATGTCGTTGAAGGTCAGCTCCATTTTATTATTATACTATTTAGAAAAAAAAAAATCGAACGTTTATTAAGTCTGTTGTGATTAGTGCTCCCTTCAAATTACATGTCTCAGCAGCAGCTGATTCAGTTATTTTCTTCACCATAATTCAAGAAAAATATTGCACAGAATAACAAAGTTCTCATCTTCTATAAATCGAATATAAAAAGACTTTAGACACCTGTACTTCGCACCATGAAAATTTTCGTATCACTTAACACCAAGATAGCGTGACGCTGTCTGTGCGTTACCATTTGCTCTATTTGTTAATCGTATAAAACTCGAAGGATATATCATGGAGAGCTGAGCAACGTCTGATTGTAGATTGAAGTGTGCCTTTCCAAGTTCATTGTGGATTCAAGCCGATTAGACCGATCGTTGTTCATATATAGTAGAAATGTCCGAAGTGTTTTAAGCAAAATTTACTTTTACATTTCGTGGCAAAATAATTGTAAACAATCGATCTAATCGACTTGAATCCGTAGTGAGTTTTGAAGAGCACACTTTTATCTACAAAATGAGATGTCGCTCACAGAGACCGAAACGGGTCGAGTTAAGTCCAGTCGATTCGGGCCACGTTTGGTTGACCCGTTTCGATCTAACTCAGGTCAATATAAAATAAACTGCCTAAATTATCCAAACTTTTGCACTCATAAAAGGACAAAATGACGGAAACCGTAAGGAATCTGACCATTTTTTGAAAAAAATTTCAAAACTATCTGACTAACGAGAGAACGTTTTTAAGTGCCCCCTCGCTTTTTCAACGAAACCTAGTGGGTTATAGGTTATCGATGATGCTGATTCCGAATATGAGTATGAGAGCTGCTC